CCAAAAAAAGCAGACAGACAAGAAGGTGGTGGGGGGGGGTGAGGGGCGGAGGCTCCTGGGAACCGGCAGCAGCGGGTAATTCTGGGCCCCGGGGCCAAAATACTTTAGAGGGTTCTCCACACCCAGGTCTTCTTTCCAGGGCGTTTCTCCAACACAACTCATATGTTTAGTATGTGTCACCCCTCCCCCGGGGTACATTGTATATACACCACAAACTGAGCCCACACAACCGTCACCGTGCACGCCACACATACACACAACCGTCACCGTGCACGCCACACATACACACAACCGTCACCGTGCACGCCACACATACACACAACCGTCACCGTGCATGCCACACATACACACACCCGTCACCGTGCACGCCACACATACACACAACCGTCACCGTGCACATACAGTATATGACAATAATGACGGCAGAGACACGCTGGAAACATCGGCCGCTCGGCACAGATCAGAGACCGGAGCCAAATGTATTTATAACGCGGCTATTTATACTGCTGACCGGGGCGGCGGCGCGGGGGGGGATGTGGTGGTGGTGTGGTTTTATGTCGTCATGGCACATGGTACAAAAATCAGGTCTAAAATGTCGGGTGGAGCCTCTGACTCAACAATTCTGTTTTCCTCTCCGGTGAGGCTGAACAGGACGAGGCCAGCTCTGCACCAGACGCCCAACCCGGTCCTCCAACCGGGTCCCTGCTCTTCACCACAGGTCCTCCAGCCCGGTCTCTGCTCTTCACCACAGGTCCTCCAGCCCGGTCTCTGCTCTTCACCACAGGTCCTCCAGCCCGGTCTCCGCTCTTCACCACAGGACCTCCAGCCCGGTCTCCGCTCTTCACCACAGGACCTCCAGCCTGGTCCTCCTGCAGATCGGAGAAGATGTTTCTGTTGCAAGGACTGAAGTCTGGCGGCGGTGGTGGCGGTGGAGGAGTTGGTAACCTTCTACAAGGAGCCATCAGTGGCCTGTCGGGTTCTGGACAAGGTGGAGGAGCCGGTGGTGTCGGTAACCTTCTACAAGGGGCCATCAGCGGCCTGGCAGGTTCTGGACAAAGTAGAGGTGCCGGTGGCCAAGGTGGCGGCGGCGGTGGAGGTGTCGGTAACATCCTCGGAACCATCAGTGGTCTGGCGGGTTCTGGGCAAGCTGGAGGTGCCGGAAAGTTCATCAAGGGGGCCATTGACACTCTGAGTGGTGGCGGCGGGGGCGGCGCGCAGGCTGGTGGGCCCGGGAAGCTTTTTGCTTCCGGCCCCGGTGGTGGAGGTGGTGGTGGAGGGAACATCCTCGGGGGAATTCTCGGCTTAATCGGCAATGCCATTGCAAACTACAAGCCAGAGCCTCCCCCGGCCCCGTGTGCCAACGTTTACCAACAAGAAGCCACGGAGAACGAGGAGCAGCAGCAGTTCCGCCGCCTCTTCCGCCAGCTGGCCGGGGAGGACATGGAGGTCTCCCCCGTGGAGCTCCAGAACGTCCTGAACAAGGTGGTGTCCAAACACCAGGACCTAAAAACCGACGGCTTCAGCATCGACACGTGCCGCAGCATGGTGGCCGTCATGGACAGCGACGGCACGGGCAAGCTGGGCTTCGAGGAGTTCAAGTATCTCTGGAACAACGTCAAGAAGTGGCAATGTATCTACAAACAGTACGACACGGAGAAGACCGGCTACATCCCCGCCGCCTCCATGCCGGCCGCCGTGCAGGCCGCCGGCTTCCAGCTCAACGAACAGCTTCACCAGCTGCTCATCCGCCGCTACGCCGACAACAAAGGCAACGTGAACTTTGACAGCTTCATCAGCAGCCTGGTCCGCATGGACTGCATGTTCCGGGCCTTCAAAGCCCTGGACCGGGAGGGCAACGGCGAAGTCCAGGTCCGGCTACCCGATTGGCTGAAGATGACCATCTTT